TTTGTACAGGATCAGTTTAATGGGTCTGATCAAGGGAATGGGATTTGTACAGGATCAGTTTAATGGGTCTGATCAAGGAATGGGATTTGTACTGGACCAGTTTAATGGGTCTGATCAAGGAATGGGATTTGTACAGGATCAGTTTAATGGGTCTGATCAAGGGAATGATTTGTACAGGATCAGTTTAATGGATCTGATCAAGGGAATGATTTGTACAGGATCAGTTTAATGGGTCTGATCAAGGGAATGATTTGTACAGGATCAGTTGAATGGGTCTGATCAAGGGAATGGGACTTGTACAGGATCAGTTTAATGGGTCTGATCAAGGGAATGGGATTTGTACAGGATCAGTTTAATGGGTCTGATCAAGGGAATGGGATTTGTACAGGATCTTCTGCTTTTTGTACGAGACTTTACAGCTAATGACCTAGAGCAAAGTGGTACTAAGAGATTTTTGTGGTTTTTCTGTCACTTAAAATTAAGACTAAATATTATCATTTGTAATTTTAACTGAAGGATTTTCATCAACTCTTATGGTAAAAGATATTAAATAAATTAATGTATACATATATAAATGATACTTATTATTTAGGGTCACTGTGACCCAATTAGACATAACTGTTGATGACAGGAGTCTGTCTTCACTTTTGGTCACAACCTTCACAAAAAACAACAACAACTTCATGTATAAATGTTAATTCTTTAATCATTTGGGCATAATTATGTTGATGTGTTGTTGACAACTGATATCTGATCATCACAACCTCATGTATATATGTATAAAGTTAACTTAGGAGGTGTCTTTTCTGTCAGGAAAATTTTAAAATTTCTAGATCAGAAAGATTAACATTTAAAATATTCAATAGTTTCATACATCATGAAGTAGTTTATGATGTTCCAAGTTTCTTTTATTTATACATCTGTAATGTATTGTTTTATTTATACATCTGTTATTATTATTAGAGCATCTACTTATTCACATTTCTGCCTTTACAATTGGTATTATTTTCAACAAATACATAATTTTCTAATTTTTTTCAGAGAAATTGCATAGAGTTTGCCTTAAAAGCTAAACCAGTAAGGCGTTACATTCCTAAACAACGTTTCCAGTACAAAGTTTGGTGGTTCGTAACTTCCCAGTATTTTGAATATGCCATTTTTATTTGCATAATGGTTAACACCATAGTCTTAGCAATGAAGGTAAGAAAAAAAACCTTTATAGTGAAGGATGTGTTTTACATTTGTTTTAAAAAAAAAGGTAAATAGAGAATTGTAATTTATCTGAAAGGTTTCGACAACTTATATTCATTTGTGGTACCCCCGGGGGTGTATATATATATATATATATAGGTGGGGTGCTAAGAAATTAATGCATTGATTGTTGGTATTTAGTTAAGCATTCAGTTAGATTCTGGTATAACTGTATGTGATTTGTTTTTTCTCTATATCTAACATGGTCTAGTAGTCACATTTTTTAAAGAATCTGTAGTCACTGCTATAAAATTAAGATTATACTTGAGTGGAGACTTTTGAAATTTTCGACAATGTTTTGGGTTGCTACCAATGATCCTAATAGGTCAAATTGGTTATGTTGTGTACATAAAAAATATTTTTGAAACATAGCCATAATTGAGAGCTTTGTGAGTGGAATCTTGAGAAACAAAATGATTGAAATGTGGAAAAACGTGGCTGGACTAGGGAATTCTAAGTCTTTGGTTAGAGATGTCATGTCATCAGGACTTACTAGAGCTTGAACTGTGTCAATGTATGGTTTAATACTTCTTCTGTTCAATATGTGTTTATCATTATATGTTCATACTGGAGTGAATTCAGTGCCTTGATCACAGTTCACAGATGGTTAATACATTTTGGATGCAATAGGCTTCTTTGAACTTCTTGGTTTTTCAAGTGTTATAAATAGTTGAAGAATTTGGTATTGGTTCCAAATAATAAAATATCCTGTGTTTTGCTAGAACCAGTTATTCTGGATTACGAAACTGGTGGCATTTTAATGTTCCTTTACTTTTTGTCTTTTTATATTTGTTTATGGTCTTTCTTGCACACAGGCTTCACTGCATGAGCATGGTAATGTTTGTCTATACTTAACAGATTATTCATTTTGGTAAGTTTGTTACTTAAGGTTTCATCAAATCTGAAGTACATTTGTATGTTAAACTCTTAAACAATAAGTAGTATTAGGTATAGTTGATGTTTTCCAGTTCCCTCATGAGACAGTGTAGTATTAGGTATAGTTGATGTTTTCCAGTTCTCTCATGAGACAGTGTAGTATTAGGTATAGTTGATGTTTTCCAGTTCCCTCATGAGACAGTGGTAGTATTAGGTATAATTGATGTTTTCCAGTTCTCTCATGAGACAGTGGTAGTATTAGGTATAGTTGATGTTTTCCAGTTCCCTCATGAGACAGTGATAGTATTAGGTATAGTTGATGTTTTCCAGTTCCTTCATGAGACAGTGGTAGTATTAGGTATAGTTGATGTTTTCCAGTTCCCTCATGAGACAGTGGTAGTATTAGGTATAGTTGATGTTTTCCAGTTCCCTCATGAGACAGTGGTACTATTAGGTATAGTTGATGTTTTCCAGTTCCATCATGAGACAGTGGTACTATTAGGTATAGTTGATGTTTTCCAGTTCCCTCATGGGACAGTGGTAGTATTAGGTATAGTTGATGTTTTCCAGTTCCCTCATGAGACAGTGGTAGTATTAGATATAGTTGATGTTTTCCAGTTCTCTCATGAGACAGTGGTAGTATTAGGTATAGTTGATGTTTTCCAGTTCCCTCATGAGACAGTAGTACTATTAGGTATAGTTGATGTTTTCCAGTTCCCTTATGAGACAGTGGTAGTATTAGATATAGTTGATGTTTTCCAGT